TGCTGAAGGTATGGAGTGTATTTCATGCAAGATGATTGTGATGCAAGGGGAGCCAGGTATAAGCACAATGTGACCTTTATAGCGTAGATCCCTCAAATCCCAGGTGTAGTGGCTATTGCACTTGGATCCTCTTCCAATTTTTTTATGATGTTGCTAATCTCTGGATACTTCTTCCATTCTTCCCTAATGTACTAGAGGAGACCTGTGGTAGGAAGGGAGATGGCTGAAATCTTAGCTTGTTCAGGTAGCCGTGAGAGTGCATCTGTAACAACGTTTTCTTTCCCCTTTTTGTAAATAATTTCATAATCAAATCTAAGAAGTTTGGTTACCCATATTTGCTGCTCAGGGGATGATATATTTTGCTCCAAAAAGTACTTGAGGCTTCTATGGTCAGTTTTAATTTAAAATCGCCGGCTGATCAGGTAGGGTCTCTACCTCGTTACTGCGTGTACAATGGCGAGCATCTCCTTATCATATATTGATATTTTTTGATGGGAGGGAGACAATGCCTTGCTGGTGTATGCTAGTGGTCGACCATCTTGCACGAGAACGACTCCAATTCCGACTTCGGATGCGTCGACCTCAATAATGAAGGGTCGGCTGAAATCTGGTAGCACTAGCACCAGTGTCGTTGTCATGGCTGCCTTAAGTTTGTCGAAGACAGCGGAGGCTTTGTTCGACCATTGGAAGACATTTTTTTTCAGTAGAGAAGTGAGGGGTGCATTGATCTTCCCGTAGTCCTTCACAAATTTTCGGTAGTAGCCCGTTAGTCCAAGGAACCCGCACAGTAATTTCACGTTTGTAGGTTTCGGCCAGCCCTGCATTGCTTCAATTTTTGTTGGGTTTACTACCACTCCTTATGATATTATGTGCCCAAGGTACTCTACTTTTTGCTAAAGAAAGTTGTACTTTGGCTGCTTAACAAAAAGAGTATTCTCTCGAAGGATCGTCAAAACAACCCGTAAATGCTAAAAGTGAGTCTCAAGAGAAGGGCAATGAGAATATTATCGAAAAATACCAGCATAAATTTGCGAAGAAAGCTCTGAAACATATCATTCATGAGATTTTGGAAGGTTGAAGGAGCATTAGTGAGTCCAAAAGGCATTACCAAGGATTCATAATGGTCATTATATGTGCGGAATGCAGTTTTTGGAATGTCGTCTTCACATATCCGAATTTGGTGGTAACCAGATCGGAGGTTGACTCGAGCTCCTTTTAACTCATCAAGCAGTTCATCCACCATTGGTATTGGGTACTTGTCCTTGACGGTGATGCCATTTAAAGCTCGGTAGTCGATGCACATCCGCCAAGTTCCGTCCTTCTTGCGTACAAGTAGCACTGGTGAGGAATAGGGACTATAATTTGGCCGAATTACCCCTGTTTTAAGCATCTCTTTTACAATCTTTTCAATTTTATCTTTCTGGAGGTGAGGAAAACGGTACAACCGAGTGTTCACTGGTGGTTTGCTCGGAAGAATTGGAATCTGATGGTCATGTTGCCGAGTAGGAGGAAGACCGCACAGTTCAACAAAAATGTCGGCAAATTCAGCAAGCAATTAGATGAGATTTTGACCTTCAATTTCTATTTTCTTCCTCTCTAGTTGCTATTGGAGATACATCAAAAAGCCATCATTTACCTTGTGTAAAACTTTCTCCATTCGTTGGGTCGAAACGGTGGTTACATTGCTTCCGCGCTTCCCGCGTAGGATGATCTATTTACCTTTGCAGTAGAATTTCATAATTAATTTGGAAAAGTTCCAAGAGACATCATCTAGGGTCGTCAGTCATTCTATGCCAAGCACGGTCTCATAATCATCAATTGGTAGGAGGAAGAAATCGGTGACAATTTCTTGGTCTTGCAGTAATAGTTTCACTTGCGGGCATCTTTGGTCGCACTTTAGGGTTCTGCCATCGGCGACCTTTACGTTGAACTTGTTGCAACCTTCGATGTGGAGCGCCATTTGAGCAGTAACCTTACTCTTTAGGAAGTTATTAGTGCTGCCCGTGTCGATGAGAACAGTGATCGGTTGTTGTTTGAGAAGGCCTCCAACTTTCATCGTTTGCGGGTTTAAGTAGCCGGCTAGCGCATGTACCATAAAGTCGGTCGGTTGTGGCTCTTCTTCCGCATCTTCTTCATGTTCAAGACTCTCTTCTGGATGTTCAATGACCTCTTCTTTTACTGGTTCAATCACAAGAATTCTCCTTTTTTTACAGCGATGCTCGCGACTCTATGGCTCGTCGCAATGCTAATATAACCCCTTCACAGATTGCTCCCGAAGCTCTTCTCTTGTCAACTTTTTTGGTGCAGGGGCTCGGCTGACAGTAGGGGGGGCTGAGGGCTTCGGTATTGCTGGTCAGGGAGCGACTCTAGTCCACCGGGCTTCATGGTTCAATCGCTCCTCTTAAAATCGTGCGATAGAGATGGCTGCCATAAGCGTGTACAATTGTCGCGTTTTAACTTCTCCCCGGATCTCCGGCTTCAAGCCCACAATAAAGGTCCCCAATAGCTGTTTTTTAAACCAATCATGAGTTTGATTAGATAACATTTCAAACTTGGTTTGGTACTCCTGAATGGTGGAGGTTTGTCGGATCTTTACTAGTTGTCCATCAATGTTCTCGTAATCGGTTGGTCTGAAGCGGATCAACAGTCCTTCTTTGAATTGTCACCATGAGAGGACTCTATGAGTGTGTTCAAACTAGTCAAACCATTATATGACATCCCCTTCAAGATGCATAGCCGCAAATTCCACCATAGATGCGTCCGCGGTTTTGTGGTACTGAAAATATCGCTCCATGCGCGAGTTCCAACCAATCGAGTCTCCTTCCCAACTAGGGAAGTCCACCTTCATGCGTGGATAGTAGGGATCGGTCACAGAGCCTCCCCTCTCCTGGAAGTCATCTCTTCGGTCAGAGCTCTCTCCTTGATGTGATTTCTTCAGGCTCGGTGGTCAGCCCAAACTGAGTTCGGTAAAGAGAGTCCGAATCTTATCCTTCATTCGCGTCTCGAAGGCTTCGAATTTAGCATTGATTGTCTCCTCAGATGCCATAATATATGCCTCCAAATCTGTACTGTTAAGATCTCTCTTTTGTTATCGGGTTAAAGACATGTATTGGTTGAGAGAAGTGGTTGTGGTTTAGGCTTGTTTTGTGGTTGTTTTGTAAGAGCAAAATTATCGTCGAAGAAACAGCGGTTTCACGACAAAATTTCTAGCAAAAATCGAGAGATTTGAGGAGGAATTTTGACAACAAAATCACGGTTTAGATAACAGCAATGATGACAAATTTGATGAATAAGATTTTGGCAGTATAACTGCAAGGTAATCAGTGTAAGTTACGATAGCAGAATTCTTGTCGAAAAATTCAGTTTCACGATGAAATTTCCAGCAAAAACCGAGAGATTTGAGGAGCGAATTTGACAGTAAAATCTCGGTTTAAATAACAGCAATGATGACAAATTTGATCAAGAAGATTTCGGCAGTATAACAGCAAGGAAATCGGTGCAGATGGAAGCCAAGACGATCTATGAAGCATATAAGAAATTTCGTTCAAAAATGATAGCAAATAGATCGGTTAAAGGCAACAATATGCGACTGAAATTTTCTACAGCAATCCTTCGTTCGCAAAGATGATAACTTTTACGACAAAAGGAATTCGCAGCACGCGATAGATAAAAAGACTTCTTCTTGGTATTTTGAATGAAAAATTACAGCAGCAAAAGGTATTGGTGATAGAAGAATATCATATCTCTTGATGTAATTGGAGATGACGACAGTAGATTGATTTGATCTACGGTAGAAGATGACGATGGAGATAGCAACGTCAAGAGCAATTGTGGGAATTGCTTGGCTGGTGGTGGGCGGCAGGGGTGGCAGTAAAAGCAGCAAGATCGCTGCTCTGATACCAGATGATAGAACCCTAGAGGAATTCTATGTAGATTGATCTTTGAGAGGGATTAATCATTGGAACGCTATAGGTTTTCCACCCTCCTAGAAGTCAGCCATATGGCTACAATTGTACATAGATCTTGTTCTCAAAGAGATGGAGGCTATATGCTTATATAGGGCTCCAAACCCTAGCCTTAAGGGCTGCTTCCTAAGTGAGTTACCCCTTTTGCCCTCAACCCTAGTCGATCGGCCCAGTAAAAAGGGGGGGGGGGGGGGGCGGCGGCTAAGAAGCCTAAATGTCTAAATATAAACCCCAGCCACTTTTCTTTATAGGATAGAGACGGCTAGGTGGTGTTTATTACAATCTCACAGGGTTTTTATTAGCTGCTTCTTGGTTGAGTAGGACCCAACCCTGCTAGGGTCCTATCAATTTAACAATTAACTGGTCAATAACCTCAATATGGAGGATAAAATTTGTGGCCTAAGTCTGACATCCTTCTGTTTCATGGATATTTTTTCTTTCTTGGAAGCCAGCAGGGACCTTAGCAATCGTCAACCAGAATGAGGAAGCTGACTGCACTTAAAGACCTTGATGCATAGGAGCTAAGGTTTCTAATTAGACAAAATTTCTTTATATTTCATCAAGGGATTCTTTTGGGGAAATTGGGACTCTTTGAATTGATTGTGAAGATTCATGAATCTGGCCTTTAAAAGATGGTTTGGATAAAATGAGCTTGCAACATGTGAATATTCTAATTAAACATTTCAGCTCTTTAATTGGTGAAAATTTGGAACGCAACTCTGTGAAGTTTGTGTCTTTTGAAAGCAGTATGTTAGGCATATTCTCATGCGAGAGGTTTCTTTCTTTTTTAGGTTGAAGATTGATTCAATTTTCTTGTGCATGTTGTTAATTATGTTCATTTGCTTTTAGAAACGAGTTAAGATTTGGTGTTTGTTGCTATTGCTTTCCTTATGACTGCATTAAAAGGGAAGTATTCAAAGATTCTTCAAGAATTTGAATCTAAATTAGTTATAGCTACCATGCTGGTTAAGATAATCACATTACTGATAAAATCTTCAAAATACTGTAAGTTATTCTAACATAATCAATGATCAGGCCCCAGTCAGTGACCGAGAATATCGAGCCACTCTGCCTGAAACTGCTGAAATGATAGATTTGGCAGCAAAAATGATTGGTGAAGGTAGGGGAATGGAACTAATGCCAAGGGAAGCAAATCCAGATGCGCCGATAACTTCATACAGGTGGAAGTATCTTATTGATTTAGCTTTTTTTCAATACATGTATTTGTATTCTATTGATATCTAGTGATCATACATATCTGCATAATCATGTATGAGTACAATCTTGGTGTGATGCTAAGATTGTGTTTTTTGTGAATTATAGAATGCATAATCTTACAAGAATCGACTTAGGATACACGCAATATGGTCTTTATAATGACATGGATGCAAATTATTGAATATGATAGATGACATTGATATTTAAAATACAAGGTATCATATTATTTGAGGTAATATTGCTTATCATCAAGCTGAAAATATAGTAATCAAATTTTATGACAATGAGTTTCTTTGATTTGTGGATTTGGAAAATTGAGCCTTTTTTAAATGTGGATTAGGGATATCTCTTACAATGCTTAGATCAAGATCAATAAGTTGTACTTTTAAAAAACTAGCATCTAGGATACCTTCCTTATAGAAAGAAAACATTCTGTAGTAGGGGATAGTCTCATCATATTCATTGTTGACCATGAATGCAAGGGCCTATTAATTCCAACTTTTGGTGACGTAATCTGACTCGTGATCATGTGATGATGTTTACTGAAGTAAAAGGCTCAGACAAATTGGTTGTGCTTCAAAATAACTTTCATGAAATTAGCACTGAGGGCAATCTTTAGCTTCTTTTCTGTATCAAGTTTGATAATAACTGGAGCTGCTAACAATTGAGAAGATCTGATGGCTGTATCAGTGGTTCTAACATGGCGATTGCTGTAATTGGGATGTTTCTTCATCTAGATTGATTTTACCTTGATCTCAATCATTGCAGGTTCGTCTGTTGATGTACGCTTAACCTTTCTATTCTCTAGTCATCCAGCATAGGAGAAAGCTACAGATCATCTTGATCTTCATCTGAATCTTTGTTCTGCTTATCTTCCTGTGAAGTCTGTACTCTGTACTTACTTTTCTTCTCGTAATTTTCAGATTTGTCATCTTAAAATCCATGTGCTATTGCAATTGAAGTTTCTCTGAAGTTGCCTCCACTTTCTTTAAGTTTTCTTTAGATATTCTTCGATTTCGAAAGCTAGCTGAAAATAACTTTTTGCAATTTAAGATTTGCTGACTTGAACGATTGATTTGCATAATCTTCATAATGTTGCTTCTCTCTGTCATAGACTGCCATTCATAGTAATAATTATCCAGCTTGTCACAATGTTTCTTCAGATTCTTTTGATGCTTGTAACATCGTTTCTGATCTGCATTGGGCTGGCCATCATGGCAGCACATTTGTATCACATCATAGTGCCAACTCTAATGCCACTCGTATAAAATGATATGTGGTGGTAATTAAGGAGGCAGAATAGAGGAGGAGAGATAAATTTCAAATGGTTTGAAGAGTTTCGAAGGAAATACAACATGCATTGAACTTTGTGGCCATACATCATGTATAATCTTTAGATCAAATTATGTCCCCTAGTAGAGCCAAAACGTACTATTGTGCGTATATGGAAACATGTAATAGCTACTTGATGTAGAAACTGAAATCACAATTTTTTGATAGTTATTATGTTTTGTTTGTAATATTATTTTGGAAAAGATATCCTAGAACTATAATTAGCTGATGGAATCAATTCCAAATCTAATTTTAAGCTAAGATTTAACTTTTGAAGTGATCGTTGATCTATGAAGTGTCTTTGGGAAATACAAGTTCTCTGACAACTCAATGCCCTATGTTAATCATTTTTCTATTCAATGTTGTAATATCCTTCATTTAGAGCATCACATTTGTGATTAAAACTTAGTGCATTACAAGCAAAGATTTAAAATCCAGTATCAACACGTGCTGGTTCCTCGTAAGATATTGGCATCCCGCAGTATACTAGCTGGTACAGATGGAATAATGAACAAAGAAATTTTGGGTGAAGGGAAAAGGGGACAAATCTCAAGGTCCTCTCTTCCTATTCTTCATATTCTTTCCTTGTCTTGTTTTTCTCAGCTAAGGTTACGTGGTGCATGGGGAGGAATCATGAGTCACTATCTCACAATTATAATAAACCTTTTGACTGATTTTTAGTAAAAAATGGTCCCAGTCTAATGAACTGCTGGTCTGCAAACTGGTCTGTGACAAGTTCTTGATTTGAACTGGAATACAACACCTGTACCAAATGATGTACCATGATATGAAACATAAAGCATTTTATGATAGTCATATAACTGGATCCTTAGTTTCTTTGCCTTCTTAATGTACCTAGTATTCTCTTTGGTTATCAAGTTATATATCTCCAAGTCTACTACTTGAATCAAATTTTAGTTAAGATACAGATTATGAACCAAAGCTTTGAATCCTAGTGTGCTAAATCGTCAGTAGGAGCAAAACACACATCTAAGTACTAGACATTCAGGTTTCTAGACATGGTCAATTTGAAAAGACTAAAGATATTTCAACTAATTATATATCTTCAACTAGTGATTTAAAAAGCGCTAGGCGCCAAAAGACGCCAAGGTCCAAAAACGTCCGAGGCGCTAGGCGCTCGCCCGAGCGAAGCGAGGCCCTAAAATATAAAAATATATAATATAATTAATAAATATAATTATTTAAAATTTTAAATAAAAATATGCTATTAAATTAAGAAAATCTATTAACAGTATTGAAAATTAATCATTTCAAATAAACTTAATATTAATAGTATACTGTATACTGAGCCTGCTAACTGAGAAACGAGGAAGCAGCAGCGAGTGGCGATAGCGGCAGCGGCCAGCGGCGAGCAACGGTAGCGGCAGCGGGAAAGGGAGAGGGAGCGACGAGCAGCGGGAGGCGCGAGCGGCGACGGCGGGAGGCGCGAGCGGCGATAGAGGCAGCATTT